TGGCCACTTACTTTTGTATTGTTTAGGAAATGTTTTACGTTTATCTTTGTATTTTATAATTTACGAAACTTTACCACACACACACACACTTGTGCGGGCGTGTGTGTTGTATATGATAACTTAAACTTGACAGGCTGACGCTCATCAACACCAGACTCGCGCGGTGTTTGCATTTAATTGTCTAACACATTTTTTGCGTATTTGTTATCGGCTCCGCACACAAATGCCCGTGTCTAGAGGGCCCGGCGCGTGTGCTACTGGCTGTTATCAAGATATATCTCGGAAGAGCATTAGGGCGACTGCATCACTATCACCAGTTACTATATTCAGTTGTATGAATGTCTAAATGTGTATGTAAACTCCAAACAAAATGATCAACAGATATTGTGGAAAACTTCTACGCAGTAATGTTTATGTTTAATACTTTCAGAGTTTCCAGTTAGTTCATAACATGAGCATTTCGTCTTGAGTGCTGACACTTTCGAATGCGTTCATTTTTTACACTTGAACATGCAAAACTTATATACATACATTTTATTCACACACACACACACACACACACACACACACACACACACACACACACACACACACACACACACACACACACACACACACACACACACACACACACACACACATACACACACACACACACACGAAGACATGGTAAAGAAGGTCATTACAGCTATCATAAGACCCAAGTCTTGAGTACAGTGCCGCGGTATGGAGTCCTCACTTTAAAAAAAATATATATATAGATAAGCAGCCAGATGATGGGCAACTACTCTGAGAGATATGAGCTACGAAGAAAGACAACAGAAAAAAAGGTTTTACTACTTTGGAAGAAAGAAGAAAAAAACAGGTGACATGACAATGATGTTCAACTCTATTACAGAAAGGGTGAAGTTAGACAAAGATGACTTGATCATTTTGAACACAAGAAGGACCAGAGGACACAGCAAAAAGTTGAAAGTAAAAAGAGGAGAGAAAGATGTCAAGAAGTTCATTTTCCCAAACATAACAATTGAAAAGTGGAACCATCTTCCAAATAACGATGTGTATGCCAAAAGTGTGCATCAGTTTAAAAAGTTAAATGATAATTTAGATATAGCAGACGGGACCATCTGAGCTTAGCTCTTCTCCCGTATTGAAACAACAAGGTAAGAACACACACACACACACACACACACACACACACACACACACACACACACACACACACACACACATGTGTGTGTGTGTGTGTGTGTCTGTGTGTGTGTGTATGTATGTATATATATATATATATATATATATATATATATATATATATATATATATATATATATATATATATATATATATATAGTGTGTGTGTGAGCGCGCATATGTAAAAATTTAGGGATCATGAATCTCAATTTGTTTTACGTCTACAGCAAATGTATTAGTATACCCAAGAACCGCGTTGCTATGGTAATAATAATAATATAATAAATTGAAGAGAAATAAGAAGTTGCAACACATACATTGTCACTGAATTAATAATTGATGATACTAAAGATGCATGAATAAAATAGGCAGAAAAAAACACGCAGACCTAACCAAACGAGAAGCTGATAATATTCATCTGTTATATTAGTGATTCAGTGATATAGACACACTAATAAAAACAAGTATAGAAATATAATTTTATTTAAACACGAACCGCCGGAGGGAAATTAATGGTATATATAGAGAAAAAGGGAGTTTGTCTAGGACATGAGACTCTCCACAAGAAACTCAGAGAGATAATAATAACCCACTAAAGAGTATAGAAAATATAATTTTATTTAAACACGAACCGCCGGAGGGAAATTAATGATATATATAGAGAGAAAAAGGGAGTTTGTCTAGGACATGAGACTCTCCACTAGAAACTCAGAGATATAATAATAACCCACTACGAAAATGTGAAATGAACTGATGTATCCATGTGTAAATGATACCTGCAGGAAATGCATGCTTTCTTGCAAGACATTTGCATTTAATTATAACAAATTATCTTAATCAGCAGCAATAAGACGAAAGAATAGCAAAAATGGATTACCCGAGAAACGAAGCAAAGTAACCATCAGAAATATTAGAAACAAGTATGGAATACCGTCAGACAGAACAGTTATATTGACAGTAGTAATTTAACCCGCTTCATGATAATAATAACAGCCATAAAAACAAGAAAAAGGACAAAAATAATAATAAACAGCCATAAAAACCAAGAAAAAGTACAAAAAATCAAGCCCCAGAGCCACCCATTGCGCATCTCAACACTCACTTATTCCCTTAATTTCAAATCCTATCCCCCTCAACCAATCAGCATCGACTTTAGATCCCCCTCCCCTTCCCAACCAATCATCCCCGACCTCCCATTCACCCTCTCAGCCAATCAGCCCCGACCTCCGATTCCCCTCAGCCAATCAGCTCCGACCTCCCATTCCCCTCAGCCAATCAGATTCGAGTTGTCTTCCCGCGCCGCCGAGGACCCATGGCTGTCAACCTCGAGCGAAGGAGCGACGTAAATACTGCCTTAAAAACCGGGTATGTAGGCCTATAAATGGCTATTTTAACATCTAATAAATGCGTGGAAGGGGAGGAAGACATGTAAGAGGTAAGGGAGATCGAAATGATAGGTAGAAAGGGGGGATAGGAGCATTAAAAGAGGGAAATAAGAGGAGAAAAACGGGCGGAGGGACGGGAGCGGCGGCCGATCCGGAGCTCGAGCCTTATTATTTATTTTTCCTTTTTATTTTCAGTTTTATTTTCCTTTTTCCTATTTCCTTATATGTATTTTCCTTGCGCTATCTCTCTCCTCCCTCTCTCTTTCCGCTCTCCTTGTTGCTCGCGTTTTAGGGGAAGTAACGTTATTTATTTAGTTATTTATTTAGTTTTTTTGTGTTATTTATTTATTTCAATAATTTTTTTTTTTTTGTCTTTTTTCCGAATTCTTTACATTTATTTCTTTTGTATTTTCGCGGACAATTATTTTTTTATTCTTCTTCTTCTTCCGACCTTATTATGTGATATTTAAGTAAAAAAAAAAAAAATGAAAAGATAAAAAAAAAAAAAAAAATGGATTGAAAAAGAATGGATAAGAAAAAAAAAAGATCGATAAAGAAAAAAAAAAGTTTTTGATCAAAGTTTCGTGGTGGATTTTGAGCCTTTTTTTTTTTTATACATATATATATGCGGATACGTCATGTGGAAAAATAAGAATAAGTAATGAGAGAAATAAGTAAATAAATAGATAAATAAGAGAAATGCCGTTGTGGAGGAAAGCCGTCCGAGTGGATTTAAGTGGATTTAAGCGTGTGTGGATAATTTCCGAGCGGGAGAGTGGATATTTTTTGTCAAAGGTGCCGCTGCCAGAGAGCTCCCCCCCCCCCCCCCACGTAGGCCACTCGTCCGCCAGCCTTTAAGTCGGCCGCTGGGGAGACTCCTCTGGCAGGGGGGGGGCTCTCTCTCCCTCTCTCTCCCTGCCTCTTTCTCCTTCTCTCTTCTCTCTCTCCTTCTCTCTCCTTCTCTCTCCTTCTCTCTCCTTCTCTCTCTCTCTCTCTCTCTCTCTCTCTCTCTCTCTCTCTCTCTCTCTCTCTCTCTCTCTCTCTCTCTCTCTCTCTCTCTCTCTCTCTCTCTCTCTCTCTCTCTCTCTCTCTCTCTCTCCTTCTCTCTCTCTGACGACATCCGTGGCAGAGGCAGGAGTGTGGGAGCTGGGGAATTGTGGGCTAAGGGCGCTTCGATGATTGGGGGGTTGGGCCTTGTTGCGACCGGGGGGGGGAGGGAGAAGGGAGGGCTACTTCTGCTATTGTCATTAATTGTGGTTAAACTTTCTTTTTTTGTGTGTGTGTGAAATGGCACACCAAGACTAAGCTTATAATGTACAATTTACGTGGAATGAATGTGAAATGCACTAAAGTATGGCTCCTCCCACAATATGAGAATTAATGTAGTAAGTGGTTAATAGATACCTTTAAATCGGCAATTCATTTTCCACTCTTTACACAAAATATCCACACATCCACTTAGGAATATCCTCCATAACTATCAGCACTTTGGCAAAGGCCAACAAATTGCACTATATTGGGTAAGATGAGAGTTTCTTGACTTCCATAGCTATTCATCAATAACAAGGCATCATTCGAACTGTAAGCTTGCCATGATAACTGTTGATAAAGTTCCATTAGATTTCTCTTGAAATTGCAGGCCCTCAGTGAAGTTCAAGTGAAGTTCAAGTGAATTTGGACTAAGCAGAAGAAAAGTTTCATTCTGAGGGCTGTTGTGGTGCTATCTATGCATGTGGGACTGCTCTTTATTATTTACATATTGGTAGAGCAGTCTTTATACAGGATAAGGGTAAATTCAGGAAAAAGAGTTGAATTTAAGGCAGTGTTTTAGTTTCACACACCCGTGTGATACAAGAATACGATAATAAGAGTGTGTGAAGTGATACTTTGTTCTACATTTACTTGATAAATGCACTAAGATAGGAAAATACCAGTAACACACATAGAGAGGAAAGCAAGGTGCACTTCCTGATGTTTGAAATAATTTACACAGGTAGAGAATAACCTCAAGATATGAAGACAATTGCCATCTGGAGACGATCCATGCATTTGGGGGGTGGTTAGAGCTCCTGATAGAGAAATCTGGTGACCAGGTAGGAGTTGGGGGCTAGGTCCCAGTTCAGGAAAGATTTTGGTTCCTATGTCAATGTTTGTGGATTCTCAAGGGTGCCCACAAGGTTGTTAGTTGGAGTAATAAGGACTTTGCCTCAGAGGGTTGTGGTCACTTTGTAAACAATTATTTACCAATGCTTGCACTTACTCGTATTTCTTGAACTGGTCTATTGGTATGGTAAGCAACAGATCCACAAGTATAACACAGTAAATAGTTGGAACAAAAAACAATCATTGCAAGGTTGGATGGCTGTGAAAAAATATGGAATTAGCCTAGAATGTACTCCAACATCACAGGCCACTTAAATTTAGCATGAAGACAACTGTGGAAACGTTTGTATTCTCACATCTGTAGATAAGTGCCTGTTTGATTATGATTTCTAGCTGTACTCTTCATTGAATCCTATAATTAATTTACGTTATCACGTCCATTAAAATCAAGGTTACACTCCCTATATTTATCTTGGAACAAACTTTAATTGTGAATTATCATCCTTTTGTCCAGGCCTTGGAATGCTGTCTGGGGCCAGTAGTAGGAAAATCTTTGCTTCAGAGCATTTGTAATTGTGTTTTAAGAACTTCATGATAAATTCTAAGGCAATCTTAAACTACTGGTGGTCGTTGTAGGGGAGATGTTTATGAAGTGACTGCATCTCTCTGAGAAGAAGTCACTTTTACTGTGGCCAGTATTAGGACCACTCCTGGGAATCCACATACCATGCCATATGGACAAAACCCCTTTATAAACTGAGGGCTACAACCCCTAGACCCCCACTTCATCACTGTGTCTCCCTTATCAGAGGCCTGCCACTGAACTTCCAGCCAATCACTGTGGATATAGTCTCTGTGTGGTGATTGTTGCATACTATTTGATTATATTTTTATAAGTGTATTTTTTCATCTCTTTGACAATGTCCTGAGATTTTCCTTAATTAAGTGTGGTCATGTAAATAGCCCCTCCCCCCCTCAAAAAGATAAATAAATAAATGAAAAATAAAATCAAATAAAATGGAAGCTCTAGCCAAAGAACACTAAGTCTGGCTTGCTAGGTTACCCAGAGAGTAAGTCTAGACCTGGCTGATTAAGTTTTTAAGTCTGGTTTCATAGTTTGATAAGGTTAGTAGAACCTCATGTTTCCAGTAACAGTCTCTAAGCCTTTCTTTATTATGTGTTTGCATTCAAACTAAGATATACATGTTGCATTTGTCATTTATGTTGTTCTCATTCATTCTCTGTACATTATCATTAGGTCAAGGTCTCATGACTAAATGGTAGGCCAGGTTTGGATTTACATGCACTCACTTTGCTAATCTGTTTGTATGCATCTTATTTGATTTTTTCCTCAATAGAGGAGTATGTCTGGCTCTCATTTGTGTTATTAATGTATTAATTGACAGTGTCAGTGTGCCCCGGTAAGAAAGAAATGAGTATTCCCAGGAGGAGGGGGAAGATACTCTACTAAATGACCTTAACTATTGATGATCTGTTAATCCGGATGCTGATTCCACTAATCCAAGTTCAAGCAGTGACTCGATCTTCAGGTGTTGGGGAAATTGAAAGGTAACTAATTGTAGTAGTGAATACAATTTGCATAGAGTACAAAAATAGTTTTCTGAGATGAGGTAGCTAAATCTGCCATGGAAATTGATTGTGTGAGAGAAGTTGCTTTGGCTTGTTTGTGATAGTTTGTGTTGATTGCCACTAAAATATGAAATTTCAAGTAAATGCCAAAGAGTGATTATATATTTTGCTCACTACAGTGAGGTTTCCAGAATTAATCATGTAGGTCCTGCTGTATGGCTCAGCTTGTTTCAGCTGTTTAACTCTAATGATTATAACTGAATGTTTATTTTGGGGGCTGCACAGTAAACATGAAGTGGCATGCCGGGGTAGGAATCAGTGATTGTTATATATGATGTAATAATCCTTGCTCATAATCTAGTTGTAAAGTTTATGAGCATAATCAGGTATGAAAAATTGATTATGAAAGTTGAGATTTAGACTTGTGATAATATGGAAAGGGTTGTTATGTTATAAAAAAATGTTGGTGTTTGCTATACAAGTATTATCATATATATCATTTAAGTTTCTTTTAATTAAAGAAAAAGTATTGTGTGATAATCAGTGTCATTATCCCTAATTTGAGTCTTGCTGTGACTTCTTGCATGGATATCAGTCTGGGGTGACTTAAAATGTAACCTTAAGGGAAAAATTTGCCAAGTTGAATTTGTCTGTGAATTTGAAAATTTTGATACATTACATATACACTGATGTAGAATTTAAATCAGTATATTTTATGGATTTCCATTGTTGATGCATATATAAATGAAACCAACCTTAGAGTGAAGTTTAACCATTTGCCGCTGAGTGGCATGTATGTACATGCCACATCATGCCTGGATTATATTCCGGGTGGCATGTGTATACATGCCATGGTGCACCGGTTCTGTTTTCCGGGGGCATGTATGATCATACTGCACACGCTATGGCGCCAACACGATCTCCTGGCAGCAGGGCCCGGGCCACTATGAATACAGCTGGGAGAGAGGACTTTGGTATTGGGAAACCACCTGGCAGCATTGGGTTTAAAGTGTATCAGAATTAGACATTTAGATATGGGAATCAAAGCTTGGGAATTCATGAAAAGAAAGAAATTTTGCTTAACCTGTTTGACAGGTAATTTTTCTTTTCTTTTCTTTTCTTTTCTTTTCTTTTCTTTTCTTTTCTTTTCTTTTCTTTTCTTTTCTTTTCTTTTCTTTTCTTTTCTTTTCTTTTCTTTTCTTTTCTTTTCTTTTCTTTTCTTTTCTTTTCTTTTCTTTTCTTTTCTTTTCTTTTCTTTTCTTTTCTTAAGTCAGGTGAAGATGCATTTTTGAGCATTAGTAGAGATTTATTTTCCTGGGCCCCTGGTCAGAACTTGAGGTTATATTTTCATAAATGAGGATTCAAGGCCATAGCATGTTAAGTAGAAGCAGCGATAGAATTATGACTAGATTGTCTTTTGTTATCATAGCTACATGGTATTATTAACCCAAATGTACATGCCATGCCCACTGTAAGTTTACTTTGTTTCAACACATAGATGGCTATACTTCTACCAAGTCACCAATGAGCCAATTACAAGTCCTATCTGTCTTGCCTGTTTTCCCTTTTCCTTGATTTTCAAAAATATTTTACATGATCTGAAATTGCTGTTACTAATGTCTATAACATTATAGTAATTGTAATGTCTATAATAAATATAACACCATCGATATTCATAGCATTAGTAAATAAAAGTTTTCCTGCCAATTCAAGGAAAGTTGAAATCATGTTAGGTCACAAAGCGCGCGCGCACACACGCACACGCACACGCACACGCACACGCACACGCACACGCACACGCACACACACACACACACACACACACACACACACACACACACACACACACACACACACACACATATACACATACATATACACACACACATATACACATATATAAACATATATACACATTTCCCTGGTGGTATTGAATTAAAGGTAACATGTTCTTTATTTGAGGAAACTTGCAAGAGTGATATAAAAGAGATAGTTTGGTGTAGTAATTTTTCCCATTATAGGGGGAAAAGTGTAAGTTGGAAGTATTTTGATTTTTTTTATAGTAACTTTTACATACTGATTAGAAAAAAAACCAGATTGGTATTATATTGTTAAATCATGTATTTGAATTAAGATACCTTATTACTCTTCCTCCTTTCTCATCTGCAGACGAGAAACTTCGTGTATGTTATGTGGTTTACTCTTCTCTGTCCCTGGTGTTAGAATTCTAGGGAGATGATGCTAGTGTTAGTGTGGTTACTACTACTATTCATGGCAAATATTAATTCTATATGTACTATGATTTTAGTTTAGAAATTTTACATATATTTAGATGGCTCCAAAAGTACTAAGTTACCAATTACTAATCTTGGCTACCTCATCTCCTGCGTGTATTGTTATTAATAACATAATGATAATCATCACTAATTGGTGCCAAGTGCTTGTGGAGCCCATGTATGTGCAAACAAAATTCACAAAACAAAACTACACTGGACAGTACATGTACCTGACATCAAGAGGAATCTAACTGTTGTGGTTGATTTTGGTATTTTGAAAGCAGAATAGTGATGCATAATTAATTTATTACTGATTATAAATTGACTAGAATTCTTATTTTTAGCCATGGTAATATGATCCTTTATCCATGAATCTGGATTGTGTAGTACTTTCTTCACAGTGATTTTAGCACAGAGAACAAGGTTACTAGTATTTCATGTTATTGAAATGCCAAAATAAACCAGTGTCCAGGAGTTGTACCATAGGTGCTGGTATATATATTTGTTTATTTATGCATTTATTAGTCTTATTCAAAGTCAGTAGTTCCTTCTCGGTTTACGTGGAATTAATTGTCCCCAACAGTCAGTGATGGAGTACTGTGAGGCCTCCCCCGACCCACCCAATGGGGTCGGGGGATACTACTCACCCACCACCACCGAGGATGTCCCAGATGGTCAGTGAGGCTACTAATCCCATTTATCTTTTCCTTATTATGCCTCTTTTTTCTAGTTTGTTGCTGCTTGTAGTGGTATATTTCTTGTCTTTGGTTGTGTTGGTAGATCCCCCCCACCCCCACCCCCCTTTTTCATGTATATATTTAAACTGGACAAAAATGATGCGCTTTTTTTATCTGGTGATGAACTTTTGTGCATAGTGTATGTATTTAATAAATTGGAATGGAGTAAGGTAGTATCCTTTTTTCTTTTGCCACATTTTTCAGCTGTGAAGAGTAAATTTTTAACATTTTGATTTAAATTTTGGCCAATGCCATGATGCTGCTTTAGTTTGATTTAATGTACCATTATTTGCTGTTGAAGCATCTGATTCTGTAATGCTATGAATAGATACACTGAAGTAGTTGTGGTGTTAAGTTCATTATTTTTTTCAATTTCTGTAGTGTGGCAGTTTTAAATCTGTGTTAGAGATTTACTTGCTTTTTTTATTATTTACTTTACATAATTTCACTTAATATGCTTTATGATAAGTATGAAGGGCATATTAAGCCAGAAATATGTATTGCATGATTAGACATGCATAATGTATGTTTTCATATATTATTTTTTCTAGAAACTATATATCTATACACATCATAACCAAAAGTGATATACAGTGGTATTTATTCAAAATTAAGTGTCTTTGATTATTATCAAGGAATATTTTGAAAAAGTGGAGTTGTATACACCCATACACATGGGATAATGTGAAATGTTTGCCTCTTGAATTGACTTCTTCTA